GGGGGGGGTTGATCCAACGTAGGGCGACGACACATACACACCACAGACCCTCATGTTAGGAATTTTCTATAGGAGCGCAACCCGAATAACGTCTGACCTGACTATTGTGCGGGCCTAGCGCATCTTCCACGCGGTCCGTTGCTTAAATTACAGAGCGCTGAGATGCGATATATATTTTCTTTTTCCGGTTTTTTGCTTCCATAGTTGGTCTGTATCTACCAATTAAACTACTAACTACTATAAGGGATAGCCCAGATGTTCCTAAGCCCTAATTATTTTTTTAAATCACAAGTTAACAGAACAAAAGTTTATTAAATAACTGATTCTTTCATTGAACGATGTCATTACTTTATTGCAATAATGAACTACACTTTGAACATTCCTTGTAACTCTGTGTGGTACCATTTCGTTCCATTTATTCGTAATTTTAAATGAATATTAATGTCGGGTTACATCTGACTGGAAGGGCCACTTCTGCATTATTATCTGTCATCAGCCAACCATTGCCAATCACAGGTTTCGCAACTTCTGAGACTGAAACTCGCGCACTGTCGTTAAAAGGCAGATAGTATTGCCGGCGAAGACAAGGGAGACTTTAATGGCCATTTCTGGCTTATTAGCCGTCGTCAGCCAGTCATACCCAGACTCAAGTGGTGCACCACCGGAGCTTCGAACTCGAGAGCTTTTTGCCACAGTCTAACGCCCTAATCATTGAGTTACGACTTCGTTGTCCAGCCGGTTTAGGTCGGGAGATATTGACATTCGTTGACGACAGTACTCTTAGTTACAGCTGCTGTCAGGGCCCGAGAAATGCGACCCAAGTTAAAAGGCGGAGCCGGATAAGTGGGTTCTGTTATTGACCGGTGAACGTTCGACAACGAGTGTTGTTAAAAGCCCAACGTCCTGACCATTCAGTCACGGGGTCGGTTGAAATCGGATTTATTAATGGTGGTAAAAGGGCGTTCATCGAGCGCGTTATCCTAGGCGTAGACCGGGTTATTTACCGGTAATGGAACCTCCCCGTAAATGCTAAGCTTCATAGGTTCGTTTTCACCTTTTGCGGATATTTTAGCACCACAATTTTTTTCTTTGAAAATATATTTTCGGCCCTTTAGAAGCGCATTCCTGATTGACCTTTCGTACGCCATATCTCTCAATATGTCCTTGATCTCCTCCATTAATTACACTCGCGAGTCTTTCCACGTGAACCGTATAGAGTGTTGTTTCTGCATTGCTCTGATAACGGCTAGAATTCACTCGACTCAGTGCGATGCTAACACTTCTCTGACCCTCGTTGATGAACGTTCACCCCTGCCCTCTGA